ACAACTAATGCTCCAGGGCATGCTCTAGCTATCTAGGCTTATCCTTTTGTTAGCTCCAATTTGCTAGACAACTAATAGTCTGGTATATTCTTAGTATTGTTCCTATATATTAGCACTAAACTACCTAGCTAAATATCCAAAACTAATCATCGATCGACGATTCTCATATGAAAAGGCAAGATAATGAATGAATTAATGATGCAACTGGTCTAAAAATAAATTATCACAAATCTATTCTGTTTCCTATCAATGTTCAAGAAGATGACTTGTCTCAGCTGCTTCAGACGCTTAGATGCAAGAAAAGGAAACTCCCCTTTCACTTACTTGGGTCTACCCCTCAGTGCTAATAGACTGAAAGTTGAAGACTTCACACATAGTATATGCCAGCAAATTGAAATAAGACTCTCTGGTTGCTCAACAATGCTCAGCTATGATGGTAGATTACTGCTAATTAAGTCAGTCTTTGCTGCTTTGCCTATCTTCTTCATGAGCACTCTTGCTCTGCCTGTTTCTATTGTAAGCCAGATAAACAAATACCTGAGGAATTTCTTGTGGAGAAATTTTGGACAACAAATTGCAGGGCCTGCCTTAATAGCTTGGGAAAAGGTTTGCAAAGCTAAGAATCAAGGAGGACTTGGCATTCTAGATGTAGCTATCCATAACAAAGCTCTCATGATGAAAAACATACATAAATTTTTAAACAGAGAAGCATTACCATGGGTCTCTTTGATCTGGGAAACTTATTATTCTGTGAACTTACAGCATAATAAAATGGTAGGCTCCAGTTGGTTGAAGAGCCAGCCAAAACTGCTCCAGGAATACAAGGCTAACTCTGTTTGCAAACTTGGAAATGTACAAACAACTCTTCTTTGGCATGATATCTACCGAAGCGTTGATTCATTTCCGTTTTGTCAAATTTCTGGCACTCAATATGTCCTTTTTTTAGTAGACGTCATGCCGAATATTTTTGTCAAGTTATTATTATTTCTGTGTTTACTCTAGTTAGGCCACATGCACCCAAACACGAATCACCCTGCCAATACAATGGCAGTAAGGGATGATAGCACATGCGGTGGCTAATCCGGATGGCAATAAGAAGAGAGAGACCGAAGAAACTGGAAGCCGGAAAGGCACCAAACGAACAGCCTTGTGGGCGCATATTCCTTCCTAGTGGGTGGCACACATATTCATGATGTGCCCATGGTTTCGGATAGAGAGTTGAAGTAGTTCTTCATCGAACTAAGGCTACTACAGCAGCACGTGTTAAAAATTGTAACAGAAAGAGCAGATGATTATTACACGGTTAAGGTGAAAGAGGGGCATCATTTCGTCGAACATTACCCCGCAAACAAAATATATCTTCGCTTTGAGGGAGTTCACAACAATACTTTTCACATCCGTGGAATATACTCGTCATTTGTTTGGTTCTGGGCTTTGTATGAAGCCTCAATGGCTATACTGGAGAAGTCTAATGTCGCCATCCTTGATCCTTATCACATGCATGTGAGCAAGTTGGAGCCAAACATACTAGTGCCCTACTTAGCCGAGTAAGTCATTCACAATACTTTATGCTTGTACACACATAGATATACATAATCTTGATGTTCATCTCATGCATAATCTTAGCCGAGTAATATTGTTCAATTCTTCGCGCAGCGACAGCCATTGGATATTAATCTTGATGTTGTCGCTCCAAGGCAGATGTTATTTCTTTGATTCAAAGAGACACCCTAATAAGAACTGGACTGCACTGAAGTCCGTTCTGAATGATGCTCTTCGATCCTGTTATCGCTCCCGAGGAACCCACAGAACTTATGAGGAATTCATGTTCCACACAAGCTTTTGTTGCAAGGAAGAACTACATGAGGTCAACACTAACTTGTAAGGCTACTATGTCATGTCACTGATGGATGAGTATGTACGCACAGAATCACTATTGAGTGATATCATGCATCCTTGGCCATGTGGGCCACAGAGCTCAAGAAAGGGAAACAAAACTTTGTGAGAGAATGTGCGCGTCTTCAAAACATGGTGGTTGATATCATTAACAAAGATGTGGTCGGGCAGGCGGAATGTTCTACAGCTCTCCAGAGACGAAGAAGGACAAAATTATCAAATAAGAGCATCAACCGAAGCATATGCATCAATGGAGTTCAACATACTTCGCGACGGCGGCTGGGTCTTTAGTTCAGAGTGAGGCAGAAGTTAGAAACATGTTAATTAATTTGAATGTTCATTGACTTGCGGTATCGATGTGTAAATTTGAATGTTCGTTGACTTGATATATATGAAAGATGCATGTTAATTGTTAATGCAAATGCAACATAATGTGATATATGCATTACGAATGTCGTTCATGTCCAAAGTGCTATTGTTTCATGCTACTATGGCAACATTAACAAGAAACTGGACCGGGATTCGAAATATGCAGGAAGCATGGTAAATGTTACCAGCAGCGTTGGCGTGATCAACGCCACAACAGTAGGCTGCCCATTGTGGCGGGTCCTTATATCAACCGCCGGTGTATACGTTACCACCAGCGTCGAGTCGGAGCGCTGCTAAAGTGGTCGCTTTTGTGGCGTCAGTAGCCCACACCGGTAGTAACGGTTATCACTAGCGTCATACTATTGGCGTCTCCCCTCCGTGTCAGTAACGATGTTTTCGGACGCGCTACTAGGTTTTTTCCTACTAGCGAGAGCAGCCTTTGGTGACCATGACCAAATTCGCAGAGCTTCATTCCTTTGCAAAAAGTGATCTCAAGTCTGTGGCCTCCTGGATTAATGCTGATGATCCAGCTCAATATTTTCACACTCCTCTATCTCCCCAAGCTTACAATCAGTTCAAGCTTCAGTGTAGGTCCGAGAGTATATCGATCAGAGGGGGTGGTGAATGTCGGATTCAAAATTTCTTTCAAAAAAAATATCAAATCTTTCAGTACTCAACAGCGGTAAAATAAGCTAAACAAAAACAGAACAGCGAAAGATAACATCTCAGAACAAATAGATAGGAAGGCAAAACAACACAACTACGAGCAATGAAGACAATTCACACGTCAAGTTACTACAGAAGATAAACTACTGAATGGCAGGGGGTGGATAAATGCGTGAGCATTCATTCGTCAGAAGATGTCTATGCCGGCGAGGGGAGGCGGCCATCTGGGCTGGATGGGCCGGGAAGTGTCATCCGGAACACACACATTTGAGATCAGATATCTCTTCCGCTTCCTTTCAAATCCTATACACCTAAATAGCTGATCTCCCACTAACTTAATTAACTTAACATGTATATGCCAACTCATCATGCTATCATGCCTGCTCCACTAAGTCCAATTCTTTCAACATGCAACTATTTCACACTTACATGGCACTATGCATGGGAAAAGACCCACCTTAATATGACCATGCATGCTACTCATATTCATATTTTACAGCTATGTAATAATTAAAATAATATTTTTTATTTATGCTTTAGTTTCAGTTCTCATATTGGTAATCCAAATATTAAAGTTTCAAACTAGGGATGGCACCCGCAGGGTTTGGGTACGGGTGGAGCCACCCCATACCCTTACCCGTCGCCCCAAATCTTACACATTACCCGTACCCATACCCGTCGACGGGTACAACTTTTTCCCATACCCATCACCCGTCAGGGTAAATGGGTACCCACGGGTAAAATTACCAAGATTTGCAACACATCGATTTGAGCATTACATAGTCATAAACAACAACTTATAATAATAATTTATAAACATCAACACGTCATGATAGCAACACATGAATACTCACCATCTATATATGTACAACAAATATATTCCTACTCTAAGATCGGCGCTCATAATCATAAAATCGTAAACAAAATTGAAACTCACCTAGCGGATGGAACGTTGCTAAGCAAGCTAGGGTGTTGCTGCTTCATGCACGACTTGGACATAGTGCTACAATGATGCTGCGCCTTGGACCCAATTGCAGGAGTAGGCTCTTTCCTAGCGCACGGAGGCACAAGGCACCATCCGACAATAGGGTGAGGCTTGGTCTCGTGGTAGGCTTGCCGTGATCCTGGCCGTGGTGGGCACTGAGTTGTAGCTCCACCTCGCTGTTCCCATCCACGCGTGAGCTATGATCATGGTCCCCGGATCCATGGTGTTGGCGTCCACCTCGGAGGACAGGAAAGGTGTGGTGGTGCGAGGCATCAAGCGGCCGGAGGCGCCGGCGGAAGTGGGTAGCGGCGAGAAGATGAGATAGATATGCTGGGCGCTGGTTGCTACGAGCATGCGAGGTAATTTTGGACGTAAATCACGTTGATATAGCCATATAAGGAACGAGGCAATTCTGCACATTAATCACCTTTTTCGAGACAAGGACATTAATCACCTAGAACGAGGCAATTATGGGTCGAGCTTGTGGGTCCTGTGGCTTTGTTGTGGGCCAGCTGCAGGATTTATGTAAAAAATGTAGTATATGGAAACATAATATTTATGGCCTATTAAAAAATCATATTGCATGCGGGTACATGGGTACACGGGTATGGGTTATACTAAACCATACCCGTACCCACTATACCCGATGGGTTTCAAATTTTCCTATTTATGTACCCATGGGTATTTTTTTGAGCCATACACTTGCCCTAATAGGGTTTTTACCCGCCGGGTACGCGGGTAATGGGTACCCATTGCCATCCCTATTTCAAACTGTCAATTCTCATAATATAAGTACGTCCAATTCCAGCAACACGCGGGGTATCATCTCTAGTTTCAACAAAGAAATGGGGCAAATAAAACTGTATTTATTAAATACTACACATTAATAGATGCTTCGACGAACAAAACTTACATCAAAAGAATAAATGTATCAATCCATCAGGCCTGCACTCCTACGCTTATACACAATTCCCTTACAAATTTAACCAGATACCAAACCTCCCAACAGCAAAACTCACACACACACCAATGGTTTCCAGAACACCATCATGTACACACACACACCACTAGCAAGTTATGCAGGAAACCTGTAAGTAACAATCCCAACATATGTACGCTCTGCAGATCGAGAGTGTTGATACCATGCTCGATTCACAGTCATCATGCTTTCAGGAGCCCAAAGAGCTTCGTCGGAGCCTCGCCTTTGGCACGGTACTTGGCGGCCATCTCCTCCGCCATGATTATCTCCTCACCTCGCTTCGCCTCCGCCATGGCTCTCTTCTCCTCAGCCGACTTGTGGAGCATCGCGAGCTTGTTCTTCAGCTTCTCCTTGTATGCTGCTTTCTTCTTCTCCAGTTGCTCCTGCCATGATAAATAGTGACCGTTAGTGAGCTGCTAGATTTAGTGCAGATTACAGTGACAGATAGGAACTTTGTCATCCTGGTTGCCTACCTCGATCTTTTTCAGCTCGGCCTCCATCTCGGCTTCCTTGGCATGCTCCCATGAAGTGATGAAGGACAGATTCTTGGCCGCCCTGATATATCATTGAAAAAGTTAGCGGCAGATGGTACAATATGTTGGTGTGTAGGAAACATTTGTCATTTTTTTTTTTGCTCAGGCGGTGGCATCAAGGACGCATGTTGTGTGTTGGGATTTGGTCTTTCCTCTTCCCTCCTTTTCATTTCCTCTATATTAGATGATCACTTAGTACTTACTCATATAGACAAACTGAACCAGGCACCACGGTTTGTGCAACAATTTTGTAGACTGGGAAAGTGATAGGGTGACAGTCCTCGGGGCAAGTGCATTTGTTACGTAGCCCATAAAAGGTGCTTGTTTTTTCTACCGCCTGCAGTGCCTTAGAGCATATCTAGCAGATCCTCAAAATAGCCCCACCCCCCTCCGCAAATTCATTTTAAGGTTCCCCCGAAAATGGTTTTGCGGTAAAGCAAGACCCCCCTCCCGGCAATAATTATCTGAACTGCAACAATTTTTCGAATCCGACTAATTAAAACAATAATGAATGGCCCCAAATGAAAAAAAAACACATACTTGTTGAAGGGCATATATGCGAAGTGCTTGTTTTAAATTATCCACGAATATATTTTATTTTTGCTCCAAAATTATCATAAAAAACAATATGACAAGGTTTTTTCTTACTTGTTTAGTAGTCTCACAAAAGTTTATCTCATTGTCTTTCCGTTTAGTGCTATAGTTAAAATATGGTAAATGCTAGTAAAATAGTTTTGGCATTTGTCTAAAGAGGCACTTTTACTATTTATCTGCTTTCCAAATTACTAGCGTGTGATGGTACAATATGTTGGTGCGTGTGGAGCATCAGCTCTCGTAGCAGACATGAGTGGTACGCATTGAGTGCATTGTAAGATAGCTCATTAAATCTAGCCAAAGGTGATGTGCCATCTCAATCATAGTGTATTGATAGTACTGGTGATTCTTGTTACTTTTAAGCAACAGACAGTTGGGTGCCATGATTAATCACCTGTTCTCGGCTCTCGCCTTCTCGCTCTCCTCCCAGGCGTTGATCAGCGTCGTCCTCTTCTCAGACATAATCTTGGTGAGATAAGCATCTGAAGAAGGACAAAATGGAATTGTGCACATTAAGCATGAGTCGAAGACTTGTCAGCAGGGTAAAGTGAGTAATGGATTATTTTGTTCTTCTTTTTTACCTCTTTCAGATGAACCTCTTGTACCTTCAGCATCTGGGGAAAAGGAAGAGAGATGTCAAGAATTTTCAGCAAATTATTATAAGTTGTTTGCAAATGATGGCTTGGAGTGCTTAATGTGGAACCACTGTGACTACTTATTAGGTTGTTATTCGTCACAGTGCTTAATAATTAATACAAAGGGGCAAATTTTGTACCGACGACATATTGCTTCCTCTTTGAGGAATCATTAATTTGCTCTGCTTTAAATTCATTGCTGGAAAAACGGGAAATTGTGTTTAAAAATCCTTATGGGAAGTGTAAATTAAATGAGAGGAACTAGTAAACATTGACCAAATAAAACCATATGAACAGGTAAGATGAGGACAAATCATATGGTATATACAACCATGAGAAGTTGTGAGACGAAGATAAAACAATAGATAATTACTCCCCGTCTATCCAATCATCTACCAAGAGCCTGTCGATCAATTTTTATTTTTATTTCACAGTATGAATTTTAGTTGAAACTGGCTCACTTCTAATTTCACAGTATGAACTAAGAAGCAGGAACAAGATTTTCCAGAGTACAAGCATATGACAAGAGGATTCTAATTAAGAAAAAGCATATGGCAAGGACAATAATATACTAGCACTACTCCGGCTGGTACAGCTAGGCATGGAGATGGACAGACAGACAGGGGCCCTTGCCAGCCGGGAGATGAGCTCCTCCTACTTGCTGGTAGAAACAATAGTTGGGTACGTACCCTTGACGACGGCGACGATGGCCTTGGAGTTGTCGGGCACGGGCACGGGCACGATGGCCTTCTCCTCGGCGATGTCCTTGGTGGCCGTGGTGGTCTCCACCTCCACCTTCTTGGCCTCCTCAGCCGCCATCTGCTCTGTTGCTTGCTAGCTTGGAGTTGGATTCGAGCAAGAAAAGGCCTCGGCGATGGAGATCTCACTAGCGGTAGCAGCTGCTAGCTTAAGCAGTTTGGGTGGTGGTATGGTAAGGAGGAAGATGTAGGCTTGTGTTCTCTTCTTCAGCTGATGGATCGGCCGGCTATATATGATCTGCGGGGGGAGAGATATAGAGAGAGAAGAAGGTAGACGGCCGGAGAGATGGGTTGAGACTTGAGAGAGGCAGCTAGCTAGCTACCGTTATAGTATCATAATCAATATATGGTGGGTTGGCTAATTAATTACTAAGTGTAGCATCAAGTGACGGACCGGCTGTTCCAGGCTGGGGTTCGCCGAGCAACAATATTCGTGTCACACACGGACACGTACAGCTAGCCGTGCTGTTCATTCGTCCTGGCTGCTCACTGTTCGGCGATGCAAAAACTTTTCTCCAAGTTTTGCGTGTGCTGGTGAAGGAAGCAAAATAATTGAGGCAGCAGAATATAGCTAGCGAGGGACGCAGCATGGCCCCCCTCCCCTCCACCATTGATGCTCCTACTAGGACTAGGACTAGGACTAGGACTAGGACTAGGATACCATACGTACACTGGACACATTTCATGATGGATGCATCGTTAGTGATTGCAACCTTTTTCGTCTACCAGATTACGTACCTTTCCTCGCGAGAATCATCGACGCATGATTAGTTCTTATACTAGGATATTTAGCCAGCCAGGTAGTAGTTAGTTAGTGCTAGTTGCACCAAACTAACAATGCAGCACCATCTGTCAACTTTTTCATGATATATACTCCAGCTAGTTGGCTCTGGAATTAACAAGCATATACGTACTAGTATATACTATATGCCTTATGGCTTAGCTAGTGCATGCCCCCTGGCGTGGCCAGGATCATTGCCCAGCTGTGCTGCTCTCCTCGCTTTCTCCAAAGTGACCAAATATATTCCCACATCCATGAACATGATTGCCGTATCCCCTAAACAAATTGACCAGTCCAACACATTATTAAGATAATTAAACACCCAGGGAAAACGTCGGTACATCTCTACGTGCGTTGTATACGTGAGACGTGAGAGAATCTCAGCTATGAACCGGGGGCCGGCCGGGACTGTCTCAGCCGGCCAGTTTAATTAGGAACGAAGCAATATACGCACATCAGCATCATCAGCTGAATTAATCAGCGTCCTCGCAAAAAAATACATAAGAAATCAGCGTAAGCAGTTTACTTTGTTGTGCGTGCGTGCGGTGGCCGGCGACAGCGACGCTCGACGGCCAGCGAATCGGAGCTGTACGTGTTGGCCTAGCTCCGCCGCTTTATGGTGCGGTGGCGCTCGCTGTTGGTTGGCGACTAGCTACGGCACGGCCCCCTCCCTAATTCCGCTGTTATTAGGAGCCATGTCTCTGCTTAATTAATCAGAGCCCACCCTGTATGGCTACGTATGATCGATGTGCTTAATTAATCAGAGCCCACCCTGTATGGCTACGTATGATCGATGTGGGTGTGTAGGATAAGGGTGTGGTTAGGTCTCAGTTGACTCAGACTTCACCAACTCACGGTCAAGACATACTTAGTACATATGAAGAAGAAAGAAAAAAAAAGATTGTACGAATCTCAATGCAAGATCAAAGAAATATGGCATCGACTGAGACATAATGAAGTCTCGGTCCAACTGAGACTTAGCAAAACTGGTAGGATAAAGCACAAGGAAACGTTTTACGCCGGGCGACCGGCTAAGTTTTGTACCGGTCGCACCGTGCGCTGGCCCCGCCCACGCTGCCACGTGCAGTTTAAGGCCCACCCTCACAGCTTTGCCTTTTCCCTTAACCATCTTCCTCTGCTCGCACCACAATATCTTTTTCTCCTACTGCCCCCACCCCTTCCCACCCGTGCGAGAGAGGGCCGTGTCGTTGCTGCCGCCCCGATCTCACCCTTGATCTACGCTGAGGTCGCTGGCGACGTGCTCCTCACCCAGCAGCATCGTCGGACGCCTGCGACGAGTTGTGAGGCAGCAGCTTTTTTTTTTGAGACAAGTGAGGCAGCAGCTTTTTTTTTTGAGAACTCGCCAAACTTTATTAATTATCAGCAAATGTCATAGGTACACGGTTTGGGTCGTGAGGAATTCCCAACCAAACATGTCTACCTACATCTAGATTACAAGCACTTGGCGAGATTATGAGCCTCACAATTATGGTTCCTACGCTCATGGATGAAAAAACAAGAAGTAAAGCTATTACAATGAATTTTGATCTCATGCACCATGGTGGTGTTGCGCAAGGGCGGATCCACCATGGGGACCCAAATTTTTTGGCCCAAAAATCGTAAATAGGCATATATAAGCCCAATAGGCCCAGTTCATGTCTTCAGGAGCAGCCCCTAGTTCTCCACGCAAGCTCGTACGGGACGAGAGAAAGAGACTCACGCATCCAACTTTTCTTCCTCGCATGTATAGAGTGAGAGAGACACGTGTAGAGATTGGAAAAGAGTTGGAGATACAACACGATCAATTCCATTTGCAATCAGTGGTGTACATATACACAGGATGAGCAACTCTCGATGCTCAACTAATCTCTACAATAAGCTATTAGCTGAGTGGAACTAGGAGATGTGGGAGAGCTAGCTAATAAATAAGAATAGGGTGCAGCTGTTACAATTCCAATGGAATAATATGTTGCCTTTGTTTTGTTTTGTTTTTTATTTTACGAAAAACTTTCGATCTATTCATCTTCAATCATGGCAGTACAACAAACATCAGAAATAATAATCTATTGCCTTTGTAACTTTTTATAAGACATTTTTAGAGTCTATGACAGTCAGTGTCAAGAAAGTCTTATGTTGAGTTACACAAGAAATAATATACATGCATGCACACGATTCAACACCACGGACAAGGCGGCAACGTGACCCTCTACCAATGGTGAGCCACGGTCAGGCAAGGGAGGCAGCCGGGCCGGAGCCCCCATGTTTCTGCGGAGGATATGGGCAAGCCCCGCAGTGCCGTGTCCGTAGCCACCGGTGGGGAGGAGCAACGGGAATGTGATACTCAGAGGGTTGGGCTGAGCGTTGCGGCGACCGCAGCAGTCGCCAACCCCGGGGAGGAGAATGGTCCCCATCCAACTCTAAAATTGCGAAAAAGAGAAAAAAATCTTCTCTATTTTGTAAATTTTTATCTTTTCAGATATTCTTGGTATTTTGAACAATTTGTGCTTGTATTCCCATGAACCAATTGGCTTCTATATTAGGGTGAATTTTGTTTGAACACCCATTGTTGAATTCCTAGATCCGCCATTGGTGTTGCGACCGACACCAATCCACCGGCGCTAGCAACCAGCAAACACCGGTGATGGAGATGGTTACATTCAGTGTTGCTACGGTGAGTTATTTTTGGTGGAACCGGGCCGGCCAAAAGCTGCAACCAACAGCCGTTGACAGTGGAGACAGCAGCCTCGGGTGTGGCAACCATCCAGTTTGTTTGCTCTAATCAGTTGGCGAAAAAGTTGCATCCACGCACAACCAGTGCTGGAACCGAACGACTGGCGAGTTGTTTTTCTCCTATAGTTTTTTTGTTGTGCTACAACAGGTAAAAAATTGCTGGATCCGACGGGATTTTTTTTGTCTGCAACCATCTGTGGCGGCGCGTTTTCGCTGGAACCGTCACGTTTTTTTGCTGGAACAATTTTTGTTTGTTGCTACCACCAGCGAAATCCTGTTTTTGTTATCAAGTTTTTTTGCTGAACATGGTGGTGGAAGTTGCCATCGGCGACGAGCAGAGGCGGCGACGGCAGAGTTGCTGCAACCACGACACCCACATGTTGGAACCAACCAATGAAGAGATGCAAAACGGCAGAAGCTGAATCTTCACAGGCAGTCGTGCTGCAATTCCGACTGCCGTGCGGTGAGAGGCGACAAGTTGGCAGTGCGGCTGAGCACGCGGCGGTGCTGCAACAGGAAGGCGAGGCGGTTCTCATGCTGAGGATCGGCGGCCATGAGCAGTGGAGAGAAAGGAGGGGATGTACGACGTGTTTTACCTAACGAGGTGGAAGAAGACCAATTCGGGGCTGCATCCAATGGCTAGGAAGGGGCCAATCCGACGGCTAGTGCGCGATCAGCCGAAATTTGGGCCGAACGGCCGGCCCTAATGTTAGCCTAAAGTATATCGGCATCTTGCCGCTGGCTAATCCGACCATAGCAAGCAATTCCGCAACATTAATTCAATTTTTTCCCACACATCTTTGATCTGGAGACGGTGGAACTGCTGGCGTGTCGACGGGCGATCCTCCTAGCTCAAGAGATGAACATACATAATCTTATCTTAGAGACGGATTCTCAGGCAGTGGTGAGAAGCGAGCGAAAGGACCTCTTTACTAATGTGCAACTAGTTGAAGAGGCGAAAGATTTCAGGAGTTTAGGGTTGCTTGGGGGCGGCGTTGGGCGAAACAAAGTCGCACATATATTAGCTAGGAAAGGTTGCATGAACACGTTATGTAAAACTTGGCCACATGTCCGTCTGGATTGTGTTAGCTCGGAGGTTACGTCTCATCTAGTCATGAACTAGGAATAAATAGCAAATATTTCCCCTAAAAAAATACATCGACGTGACTGCACGAGCCCCCTTACCTATACTAGCCTGTTACAAGCGCACAATAATCCTACAACTACGTACGACGTTTTAAGGATCTTTCCAACTATTTTTGTTCCCCTGAAAAAATGCTATAACTGAAAAAAATTGATCGCCTCTCCGATCATTGGATGGACACGGTAATGACCTTTGCAAAAAGAGTGGAGTTGCAGTATTTTGTGTAAAAGAGGTTTTCTTGTATGATTATTTTTTCGAGATTTTTTGTTTTGAGGCTGAACAGGGCCCTTTTGCAACGAGAGGCTTGTTGCAATTGCAACATCCCTTTTGTTGCAAAACAGAAAAAAAAAATCTCCGGTCAAATTGTTTTCTCAGGCATGCCATCGCGGCCAGTCCACCGTCTTTC